TTAGGCACTGCAAGGCCCTATTTCCCTTGTACTAAGGACATGATGATTAGGCAATACCGTACACTTATTTTAAGAGTTTTAAGGTATTCTAAACGAAATGACACTTTTTTGAGGATAAGATTACAAATTCATGTTACAATACAACCTTGTGAGACCTACAACGCTCGATCGCCATGATCACTGAGTTTTCCACGGATTCAAATCATTGGCTTTAAGTAATTAAACCACCGTGGGGATCGGTGACTTCGTTACATATCTTTGTAGTCAAATGGACCACAATATCTGTGGTCTCAAAAGAATCAAATCAAGAATTCCTCTACAAGAAATCAAGATCACTCTACAAGAAGGTTTGTAGAGTGATCGACGGTTTAGAGATTTGCCTGTCCACTTAGCTGTGTTTCAAACTCAATATACATTTGAAGTGGAGTAATCATAAATATTTTTCTCTATGCATGTTATTTTTTTTTTTGGCCGGCACCCTTATTGCGTCTTTGGAATCAACGTATATCGCTGAGTATCAAGTCTCCTAATGTTTTATATACAGTAAACTTGTTATTTGAATCCACAGACCAGGCATATTAAGAGTTATAATTTAGCCTGTTTCAGCTCTTTGCTTCTCGATCTGTTAAAGAGCAGTTATCAAGAGGGTTTCGGCTCTAAGTTTTTTTTTTTCGCATGACGTCACGGCAGCCATATTGGTGTCCGAAAACAATGTAATAGCGGCCATGTTGTAGCCTGCGTCGCAGATGTTACCTACCGCGGATTACCGCGGATTACGGTAATTTACAGGTAAACTTCCGTCTGCGACGCAGGCTACCATGTTGGTGTCGAAACAAAGGTGGAAGTTGCACTATTTCTTGTGTAAGCGCTTTCTTTTGTTCCAATAAATTTACATGCCCGCTGACCATGCACGTGAGTGTAAACACTTTATTAGTACAGTCTGAAGCCACAATTAACCTCAGGGAGAAATCTATCAGCTTATCAGAATAGTATAAATGTAATTTTGTTTGTAAACTTCAAGTCTTGACTAATGGGAAAAGTCTTAAATTTTTTCTATTATACATGTAGACATGGATTTTTTTTCTGCAGAAAACACATTCTCTATGGCACCCTTTCAGATAGCAATATTCTTTATGGTATACTCCCTTTTGAGTTAGAGAAACTACAACGGTTGCAAAATAGAGCTGCAAGGCTAACTATCAGCGCAAAAAATCACTCTAATATTAAAGAACCTAAATTGGCTTCCTGTTTAAACGAGCTGTTATTTTATTTTAGAAAACAGCCTTAAGCCGAAAATACGCGCGCTGATTAAAAATCGCGTTTCTATTTAACCAATAGACCACTCTTTCTATGGGTTTACTGGCGCTATAAACCTCGCGGGATGTTAGGAGAACACGAGCAAAGCTTGTAAATCACGAGCCGTAGGCGAGTGATTTACAAGCTTTTCGAGTGTTTTCCCAACATCCCAAGTGGTTTATTGAGCCGGTAAACCCATAGAAAGAGTGGTCTATCGCTTTTAAGAAATAACCATGGGAAAAGTCTGTCAATGAGAGGAAAATTTATTGTACTTTCGTGATCAAGTTGTTTATTTTCATCAAATTCATGACATGACTTGACAAACCAATCACAGTGACTGAAAGAAAGAAAGCACAGACTC